GTTAGTAGTATTGTTAGTAGTCACGGAGTAGTCGTAGTAGTACCTTTGGAAAATCGGACGAGTAGTGTATGCTAGAAGTGTACGATAGTAGCTGTAGTAGTAGTAGTGCGAATCTCCCAGAATCTCTGCAGGAATCTCTCGGAGGTCCGCAGGAAACTCTCAGGAATCTGTCAGAATGTCCCAGAATGTCTCAGAATCTTTCAGAATCTCTCAGAATCTATCAGAATCTCTCAGAATCTCTCAGAATCTTTCAGAATCTTTCAGAATCTCTCAGAATCTTTCAGAATCTTTCAGAATCTCTCAGAATCTCTCAGAATCTCTCAGAATCTCTCAGAATCTCTCAGAATCTCTCAGAATCTCTCAGGATCTCTCAGGATCTCTCAGAATCTCGCAGAATCTTTCAGGATCTCTCAGGATCTCCCAGAATCTCGCAGAATCTCTCAGAGGCTCGCAGTGGCTCTCAGAACCTTGCAGAGGTTGGAGCTTTTCAGAGGCTCCAAAGTGGTTGGGATCTCACGCGTCCCACGTGTTCTTGACGGTTTGGATCTAGTTTTTCCTCGGGCGGCCTCGAAACCTCGAAAACACTCCAAATGAGGTCCGAATGCCCAAGATGGCCCCCGAGACGGCCCAAGAGTGCCCCGAGTCGCCAAAAGATCGGCCGAAACGCCCAAGATAGCCTCTTCGTCGTCTTCAGGGTCGGCGGCACCTGCCGTAAGGCCTTCGGAATTTAAAAAGAAACTCAGAAGTTATTCTAAAATATTCAAAAAATCGTCCCCTGACTATTTTTAACTATTTGGGAATGTTCCTCCTGCAGAGGGACAGGCCCGACTTAAGCCAAGCGATCTCCGACGAGCGCCCGCAGCTGGCCAGAGCTCGTGCGGGGAGGGGCGCCCCCCCCTGGAGTCCCTCGTGGAGCGCAGCGGCCCAAGCCGTGGCGGCAAGCACGACCCGGTGATCCCGCACCCTCCTCCTCAGAACTCTGCCCGCGCGCCAGGGGGAAGAGCAGACACATCCGAGTCCCGGGGGGGGGTACAGTCAGAAACCCTAATAAGGACGCGCGGTAAGGACGCAAGACCCTTGGAAGCCGAAGTTGGGATTTTTGGGGCGGCGGACGACGAAAACCTCAAGGACGCAAGAGCAAGAAAGAGCGGACGCAAGGGTACCTTGAGCAAAGTCGCGCGTCCTTATTAGGGTTTTTGACTGTAGGGGGGATGGGTAGGGGGGGGGCTCCTCCTCTCTCCGCGCGGAAGGGGAGGAGACAAAATCCGGATTTTCTGAGGAGGGGGGGGGCGGTCGCCGTCGTCGTCGCGCCATCGCCGCCGTCCAGAGAGGAACATCCAAAACTGCATAGAAACACACGCTCTCGGAGCTCCGCGCGGATCTCTGGACCGCCGTCGTCGTCGTCTTCGTCGTCGTCCGCCACTGGCGTCGTCGTCGTCGTCGTCGTCGTCGTCGTCGTCGTCGTCGTCGTCGTTGTCGTCGCCGTCGCCGTCGTCGCCGTCGCCGTTGTCGCCGCCGTCGTCGTCGCCGCCGTCGTCGTCGCGCCATCGCCGCCGTCGTCGCCGCCGCCGCCGTCGCCGGCGTCGTCGTGGTCGCGGGCGCCTCCCGGCTCCGCAGGCGCGGGCGCGGGCGAGGACATGCCCGGCGCGCGGTGGCGGCGGCGCCGGGCGCGGCGCGCATGCCCCCGGGGACCCCCCCTCCGCCCCCCCGGGGCCCGCGCGGCTGGCCGGGGCGCGCCTGGGGGAGGCGGAAGAGGGGGAGGAGGGGAAGAGGGGGAAGGAGGGGAGGAGGAGGAGGAGGAGGAGGGGGAAGGGGGGAGGAAGGAGGAGGGGAGGAGGGGAAGGAAGGAGGAGGGGAGAGGAGGAGAGGAGGAGGAGGAGGGGAGGAAGGGGGAGGAGGAAAGAGGGGGAAGAGGGAAAGGGTTAAGGAGGGAGGGGGAGAAGCCAAAGAGCCGACGCTCCAGCAAAAATGGGGACGGCGGATTTGGGGCTGTGTTCGGCCCGCGGGGGCCCTCGCCGGGCCCCAGGGCCGTCAAAAGACGATGCAGAACGAAAAGCCTGCCTTAGGGAAGTGGTCCAGGCCTCTGGGGCCCACGCATCGAAAAAAATGAAGCGGCCTGATGTCTGAGGATGAGGAGGGAGAGGGAGGGAGGGAGGGAGGGGAGGGAGAGGGGGGAGTGAGGGGAGGAGAGGGGAAGGGGGGGGGGGGGGGGGTGACGCTGCGGGCGTGGCCGAGGGCCCCTTGTAACAAGGGAACTGCTTATTGGCAGTGCGTGCCAACTTTTCTCGACCCTTTCTAGAGGCTTCCTGACACGCGTTTGGCAAAGAACGTGGGACGATCGTCGCGGGCGGAGGGAGGAGGAGAGAGCATGGAGCTTGGGAGGAAGGGAGGGACGGAGGGTATCGAATATAGAGCTTGGAAGGGAAGGGATGGACAGAGGGGGGTGGGATGGAGGAAGGGAAGGACCGGAAAGCGAGCGTTGCATCCGCCGGTTCGATGCAAGGCCGACCAGAGAGGGGGGCGGGCGGCGACGGGATGGAGCGGCAAGGGGAGGGCGGAGGAGGAGGAGGAGGAGGAGGAGGAGGAGGAGGAGGAGGAGGAGGAGGAGGAGGAGGAGGAGGGAGGAGGAGGAGGAGGAGGAGGAGGAGGAGGAGGAGGAGGAGGAGGGAGGAAGGAGGCGGCGGCGGACGGTGGAATGAGCGTTCAAGCCGTTCTCTCTAAGCACGCGTTGGAAAAAAACCCCACGGGGAGCTTTACACCAACCTGGCTTGAGAAGAAACTCTGGACACCTCGTGGGGCCAGAGAATAGAAGAAAAGGACCAAGGGGCCAAGCGGCGTCTGCGCCTCTCCTTGGCCTCGGCTCGATTACGTCTGATGCGATCGAGCTGGGCAGTCGACAGGGTCGGAGGGGGGGGAGGGGGAAGAGGGAGGAAAAAGGAGGGGGAATCCCCGTCCTCGGGGATGTGGGTCGGCCCGGCCTCGTTGGGCGGCGCGACGGTCCTGACATCCTGCTCCTCCGCAGGTGGGTCCTGCGGCAAAGGGCTGGGATCCTCGGCAGGGGAGGAGGGAGAGGAGGGAGGCTGCCAGCGGCTGGATTCAGGATCACCTCGTTTCCTGGAAGTCGAGGTGCGTCGTGCGAAATCGGGAGCCTCCCAGAACGAGTCGTTCGGATCCCATGGAATGTGAAATTCACGAAGACAACCGGGGTCGGAGGGTGTGGGGTCCAGGTCCCATGGGTCACCAACATAGGTAGCAGAGACTATAGCATCCGTCATGGCCGTAGCAATGGCAGCACACATCCTGGTCGGGTAGGTCTTCTTCGCACTGGTTTTGAAGCTGTTGTCCTCGTTTTTACCGAGAAGCGTAGGATGGGTTCCCTTGCCGTGATTGCATTTGCCGTTGTTGCAGGCCGTGAGTTTGCCGTGCATGGTGGGAAGTCGGAGCGACATGATTCTCGTCGGTGCACGGCCGACTGTGGCCGGATCTGCATCATTGAGGGTGCACTGGTCGAAATCCGTCGTGGCAACAATGGGGCAGCATTCAAGAGAACGGAGAGGCATCCACGCAAAACTTGAAACTGCCTGGGCTCTCCACCACGCTGGTGCGGGGTGCTCCAACCATCCACAAGTCCCTGCTCTGATGTGTTCGGCGAGCAGGAGCACGAGACTGTGTAGGAGCTTGTTACCTACTTCGAGCTGCTGTTCCTGGGTAGGTGAGGCCCACGGCACTCCCCAGAAATACTCGGCCGTCCTGAGTGGGGGGGGCCCCCCCTCCAGCCATCTAGCTGGGCACCAGGACTCGCAGGGGGGTCCCCCCCCTGTGGCCCAGACTCGGCGAGCTCTGATGTGGCCTGCCCATTCGTCAATCGTAGCTTGACGGGTCATATCACAGCGTATGTTGTCGATAGATATGTCGATAGACAGTGTGACAATGTAAATATCTGGTCCATATTCGGCGTTGTCGATGTTGTGTTGAATATCACCCTGACGACGACGACCACAAAAAAGGTTTAGTATGTAGACCTCACGTCGCTGCACTCGCCACGGCACCTGCAGGGTGGCGAGATGTTGAAAGTCCTGCGGGCGGAAAAGGTAATGTCTGTCCGAGAATTGGGCCTCTGGGGGTTCACCAGGATCGTTCTGAGCACTGGGGGGGCGCCAGATCTCCTCCAGGGTCTCTTGGGCCTCGGGGGTGAGCTCGTAGAAGGCACCTCTGAGGAGCTCTTTGGCTTCGTCCTCATCGTATAAGGCAAAGACTTCTGCTGCTTCCCAGATCAGACCGTCGTCGCAGACCGTAGTGGTTGCTGGGTAGGCTGATCTCCATCTGCCCAACCCTGCACGTCGCTGGTCGGCGCAAGCCTGACGATCTCGTGCTGCTGCTTGCTGGGCCTCTTCAGCCGTCATCTGAGCTCCGTGCAAGAAATGTGCTAAACAGCAGCGGGCTGCGTCGTATGCCAAATGGTTGCGAAGTTGTCGGCGAGAAGCGAATTCCATGGAGCAAGCTCGACATACTGCTTTGTCCCCCATAACCCTTTCCACGTGTTGTACCATGGTAAAGTGTGTACGTATGATGTGTTGCCGTAAGGCTGTGACCTTATAGTAAGTTATGTGGCACCAGGGACAGATATATTGTTGTGCTGGTGGTCGGTCGGCAGCCCGCAAGGGATGATCAGGATGTGTGACTGGGAGTGGGAAGCCTCCTTCCCGAGCGCACTGGAAAAATATACGCTCCGCGCGTGCTGCCCATGCTTGACGGGCGGCAGCTTGTGCAGCGCCAATCTGCGCTGCTCTGAGCTGCCGTCTCCATGAAGTAATGGATCTTCGAATGTGCTGTTCCCATGGGTGAAAGCTGTCCGCTGGGTCCGGGAAATCCTGGAACGATTTTGTAACCGTGCGGAGCCATCTAAGGTCGTCCAATACATGATGTATCCATGTGGTCTTGGTGCGCTGTCGTGCATGCTGTGGCTGATGCGGTGTATTGTGTAGTGAGAGCATGATGCGATACACATGTGCGAGCATACCTAGCAGTAGGTCGGATCCGTAGTGAAGCACTCGTCCCAGCAAGCGTAACCGATGCACGCGTAGCTGGACGTCGAGGTCTGCCCGTTCCACGTGGGCTAAAACCTCAGAGTCGGGAACAGCGTGCTCGTCATATCTCTGCAAACCTGCTGCTGCTCGATATCTCATAAGTATGTTGGTACGAAGTACTTTGTACGCGCCGTGCTCGATATTGATCCATGTGCCCGCGTTGTGTAAGAGCGAGGAGGAAATGAGCGCGTCTACAAATCTCATCTTCATGGCAGTGGCGCCAGCTTCATGCGGCACGCTGGGGAAGACTCTGCGTCTTAAAATCCGAGATGCTTGGGAGATACCTGCTATGCGGTGTGCTATTTCTGGCCCCGTCGCTCCTCGCTCGTCGATGATAGTACCTAAGTGGGGGTATTGTCGGACCGCATGTAGGGTGAAAACACCAGCACTGTCGGAATGTACTTGAAAGACCCCTTGACGTGTTTTCCAGAGCTCCAGACGTGCCACCTTAGACTGTTTGCCCCAGAACTGGAAGAGCAGCTCGGATTTCCCCTGCTTAAAGTTGAGGCGCAAGCCTCGCTCCGCGAAGCTGGACGCGACAATGCCTGCAACGTCGGCGGCAGTGCTGATCAGCCAGCACGGCGGCCCTAAGACTGCGAAAGCTCCGTCGTCAAAGAAACATATCTCCAGGGCGGGTTTGGTGCCGACAGGCTCGTGTTGTATTAGCTGCGCTAATGAGGCCCCAGGAAGCACTGGGACCTGTGTGGCAAGCTGTAGGGCTTGCAAACGCTGATTGGCTAAGTGGGTGCACTCAGCCATGATGAAATTGAAAACGATGTCCCCTAATGGTTGTCCTGGCACCGTCCCGAAAGTCGAAAGCGCGATAAGGTTGGACCCAGGGTAGGTAAACCAGGATCCGTGGTACGAAGCGGCGATGAGCGCCTGCAAGTGTGGGCTGATGGAGGCCTTCTGGAGGGCTGGGGGCAGACCACTGAGCCTCTCGAGTAACCTGTGCAGGGCTGCAGGCGGGAGCCCGGTGGTGTGCAGAAGCATGGCGACATCTTCGACCGTGTGACATGAGGCCATAACCAACTGACGTACGGATTTGTAGAAGGCCTGCACCACATCCACGAGTAGGAGCATGAGGGATGTGCCCTGTGCCTCCGCCAGGTTCTGTAGGGTACGTATCGCTAAACCCGCCAGGTCGACGCCCCGTCCCGCGATGCCCCCGTACTGCGAATCCCCCGCAACTTGTGGAAGGATATCAACAAGTGGCGTACGGACCAGGGCTCGAAACTTTTTGCCAATTTGGGGCGACACCATAACTGCCCTGGATGAAACTGGCCACGAGGGATCCCCTGACCTCTTCCAAATGTTCCAGTATATGCCTCCCTTCCACTGTGTAGGTTCCTCGAGTCGTGTAGTTGCCTTAGTCACGATCGGAAAGTAAAGTTTGCCTAACTCTGCTCCGAAAGCCGCGACGAGCTGTCCAGATAGGCCGTCCAAGCCAGGAGCAGACGCACGTGTCCTGCGGCATGCTGTCTGAAAGTCGGCCAAAGTGGGAACGAAGGCCTCGACAGCCGTAATGTTGCACACTAGGTCCTGGGGGAGGGGCGGCAGTGAGTCCAAGATGCTCTGTGCCTGCTCCGCTGGAACGATGGCGCTTAGCTCCTCGGTACCGAAGTGCTTCAGCCAAACATTG